CAAGAGGTGCCCAGGAGGCCCCAAGAGACCCCCAAGAGGCCCCCCCAGAGGCACCCAAGACGCCCCAAGAGGTCTCGGCAAGAAGGCTAACGTCATTGATCTTACGAAGGTTTCAGCCTCCTGGGGGGGGAACCCTAAGAAAGGAGCCCCCCCTCCTTTCCAAGATGGGCACAAGATGGCCCCCGAGGCTCCCAAGAGTGCCCCAAGAGGTGCCCAGGAAACTCCAAGATGCCCGCAAGAGGCGCCCAAAATGCATACAAAAGGCTTCTAAGAAACCCCCAGGAGGCCGCTACAGGCCCCCCAGAGGCACCTAAGACGCCCCAAGATTCGTTGTCGAGATGGCCAGAATCATGGATTGCATCAAGGTCTTGGCCACGGTTTGGCCTCCTGGGGGGGGGGGGCCCACGAGATCCCAAGCGGCCCCCAAGAGGCACCCGAAACGCCTCAGGAGGCCCCCGAGACTGCCAAGAGACCCCTAAGACGCCCCAAGGGGACTCCAAGAAGCTCTCGAAAGAAATCAGAAGAGACTCCGAGATGCATCCAAGGCCTCTGGCCTTTCTGCTCGCCCTCCTCCTCCTCCTCCTTCTCCTCCTCCTCTTCCTCCTCTTTCTCATCCGCCTGTTCCTCCTCCTTACTCCTCTCTCCCTCCGCACCACCACCCACTACGCACGCGCGTGCGGAGCCACAGGTCCGCTACGACACGCGTCCGCGGATAGAGAAAATCAGCGCCATGGTAAGGGATGGGAGGGAGGGGGGAGGGAGGGGTAGGACGTCAGATATGACGTGAGCGCAACTAGCTTGCCCTCCTCCCCCTCCCCCTCTCCCTCCTCCTCCTCCTCCTCCTCCTCCTCCTCCTCCTGCTTCTCCTCCGATTCCTAATCCATGATCCCCGTGTTGGGGTACGACGTCTTACCCAGCCCTTGATTCCACTGCATTCTCCTCCATATCCCTGATCAGGGCAACTCGTATGGACATTTTTTGTTGTTTTATATATATAAAAAGCAAACAAGCAATACCCTGTGACGTACCCAACCCATTTGTATCTATGGAGACGAGGAGTTGGCCGAAACTTGTATGGACAGTCAACTTGATGTGTACTTGGGAGGCGTCACTGTGCTGAGCCCCGCAAGCAGGCCTCGAAAGTGGCGACAATTTCACAGATCGCAGGTCACCAGGGATGGCGAGGTCCAATTTGAATCTGCGTGTGGCGTCACTGTGCTGGGCCCCCCCAGCAGGTCGCGAAAGTGGCGACAGTTCCACAGATCGCAGCCCCCCAGGGATGGCGAGGTCCCATTTGAGTCCGCTGTGGGTACCCACTGTGCTGGGCCCCCCAGCAGGCCTCGAAACTGGCGACACTTTCACAGATCGCAGCCCCCCAGGGATGGCGAGGTCCTATTTGAGTCCGCCGTGGGTACCCACTGTGCTGGGCCCCCCAACAGGCCTCGAAAGTGGCGACAGTTGCGCAGATCGCAGCCCCCCAGGGATGGCGAGGTCCCATTTGAGTCCGCCGTGGGTACCCACTGTGCTGGGCCCCCCAGCAGGCCGCGAAAGTGGCGACAGTTTCACAGATCGCAGCCCCCCAGGGATGGCGAGGTCCCATTTGAGTCCGCCGTGGGTACCCACTGTGCTGGGCCCCCCAGCAGGCCTCGAAAGTGGCGACAGTTTCACAGATCGCAGCCCCCCAGGGATGGCGAGGTCCCATTTGAATCCGCCGTGGGTACCCACTGTGCTGGGCCCCCCAGCAGGCCTCGAAAGTGGCGACAGTTTCACAGATCGCAGCCCCCCAGGGATGGCGAGGTCCCATTTGAGTCCGCCGTGGGTACCCACTGCGCTGGGCCCCCAAGCAGGCTCGAAAGTGGCGACACTCGTGGCGAGGTCCCACCCACTGTGCTGGGCCCCCCAGCAGGCCTCGAAAGTGGCGACAGTTTCACAGATCGCAGCCCCCCAGGGATGGCGAGGTCCAATTTGAGTCCGCCGTGGTACCCACTGTGCTGGGCCCCCCAGCAGGCCTCGAAAGTGGCGACAGTTTCACAGATCGCAGCCCCCCAGGGATGGCGAGGTCCAATTTGAGTCCGCCGTGTGTACCCACTGTGCTGGGCCCCCCAGCAGGCCTCGAAAGTGGCGACAGTTTCACAGATCGCAGCCCCCCAGGGATGGCGAGGTCCAATTTGAATCCGCCGTGGCCCACTGTGCTGGGCCCCCCAGCAGGCCTCGAAAGTGGCGACAGTTTCACAGATCGCAGCCCCCCAGGGATGGCGAGGTCCCATTTGAGTCCGCCGTGGCCCCACTGTGCTGGGCCCCCCAGCAGGCCTCGAAAGTGGCGACAGTTTCACAGATCGCAGCCCCCCAGGGATGGCGAGGTCCCATTTGAGTCCGCCGTGGTACCCACTGTGCTGGGCCCCCCAGCAGGCCTCGAAAGTGGCGACAGTTTCACAGATCGCAGCCCCCCAGGGATGGCGAGGTCCAATTTGAATCCGCCGTGTGTACCCACTGTGCTGGGCCCCCCAGCAGGCCTCGAAAGTGGCGACAGTTTCACAGATCGCAGCCCCCCAGGGATGGCGAGGTACAATTTGAGTCCGCCGAGTGTACCCACTGTGCTGGGCCCCCCAGCAGCCCTCGAAAGTGGCGACAGTTTCACAGATCGCAGCCCCCCAGGGATGGCGAGGTCCCATTTGAGTCCGCCGTGTGTACCCACTGTGCTGGGCCCCCCAGCAGGCCTCGAAAGTGGCGACAGTTTCACAGATCGCAGCCCCCCAAGGATGGCGAGGTTCAATGTGAGCCCGCCGTGTGTACCCACTGTGCTGGGCCACCCCAGCAGCCCTCGAAAGTGGCGACAGTTTTACAGATCGCAGCCCCCCAGGGATGGCGAGGTCGAATCTGAATTCCCAAAGGGCGTCACTCCGCTGGGCCCCCCAGCAGCCCTCGAAAGTGGCGACAGTTTCACAAATCGCAGCCCCCCAGGGATGGCGAGGTCTAATCTGAATCCCCGTAGGGCGTCCCTCCGCTGGGCCCCCCAGCAGCCCTCGAAAGTGGCGACAGTTCCACAGATCGCAGCCCCCCAGGGATGGCGAGGTCTAATCTGAGTCCCCGTAGGGCGTCGCTCCGCTGGGCCCCCCAGCAGGCCTCGAAAGTGGCGACAGTTTCACAGATCGCAGCCCCCCAGAGATGGCGAAGTCTAATCTGAGTCCCCGTAGGGCGTCACTCCGCTAGGCACCCCAGCAGCCCTCGAAAGTGGCGTGGTGACAGTTTCACAGATCGCAGCCCCACCAGGGATGGCGAGGTCTAAACTGAGTCCCCGTAGGGCGTCACTCCGTTGGGCACCCCAGCAGCCCCCGAAAGTGGCGACAGTTCCACAGATCGCAGCCCCCCAGGGATGGCGAGGTCTAATCTGAGTCCCTGTAGGGCGTCACTCCGCTGGGCCCCCCAGCAGCCCTCGAAAGTGGCGACAGTTTCACAGATCGCAGCCCCACCAGGGGTGGCGAGGTCTAATCTGAGTCCCCGTAGGGCGTCACTCCGCTCGGCACCCCAGCAACCCCCGAAAGTGGCGACAGTTTCGCAGATCGCAGCCCCACAAAGAGAGGAGGAGGCGGGAGGAGGCGGGAGGTGGAGACCACAGTGCTCTATTCAAAACGAGTACCCAACGCAGGAGGGTTGGGAATAAATACAGCCGCAGGCGGAAGCGCCGGCGGCGGCAGGTCACGGTCGGGCTGCGGCCGTAACAAATTAGCCGGGCGCGCGCGCGGGCCGCGGATCAGGCAGCGGTGCAAGCTGCAGCCCAGGGAGTCTGAGGGGAGACTGGCACCCAGGGAGCAGGAATTACGCTGCCAAAATGGCGCGATGCACGCCCCCAGTCAAGGGTCGTGTCCGTTTCGACGACCACAGGGCAGTGGGGATCTTGACTCCGTGCAAGAAGAGTGTTAGAGAGCCCAGGGTGTCTGCCGGGTATGAGCGAGACCGTAGGCGAGAGAGCTGACGCAGGCATCCTGCAGGAAGACGGGACTCTGACGGCGCCAGCGAACCGTCGCAGCATCAGAGTACGCACCAACGCGGCGTAAAGGCACGACTGAAGTCAGTGACCAACCGATGCACGTCGACCCTCAAAACAACTGGGGAAGGATGCGTTCGCACGCGAAAGATCAACGACATGATGTGACGCAGTGCGGAAGGTACACCTGTTCCCGACCTCGGCGCGAGACACGAGGGCCAACCGAAGATGACAGGGCGTGTACCAGGAAGCAACTAACAAAGAGCAGCTCTCCAGGATACCCTGGCGGACCAGAAAGAGTGGAAATAGCGCTCCGAGAAAGCTGCGCTGACGCATACCCGCTGCAGCACAAGCAACCGTCCGTAGTCACGAAGAAGCCCAGGGAGTGACCGCTCAACAAGGTTGAGCGTGGGAGCGACGATGGGGTGACGTCAGTGCGCACGGATCCTTGCGGCGAGCGGTGCACCACTAGCCACAGGTGTGGGCACGGCCTGGGCCAACCGCTGCCAAACTGTGGCAAGTCATGCACGGGAGCACACCTGCGACCCAGAGTCCGAGTACGGCCGCAGCGACCTCCGGGTGGGCACTCCAGCCAACGAAACGGGGCGTACCACAACGCACGGAGACCGCCTGAGCAACGTTGAGACCCACAGACGATAAGCCCAAGCCCAGGGTCGCTCACAGGGAAGGCGGAGAAGCGCGGCTGAAGGCCGTAGTAGCTTCTGGGGTTACGCGAAGCGTCTAGAAAATATTGCACCACGCAGATTGCTCCACATAGATATGTGGCTCGGAACACACTGTTTGGGATACACGCTGGCGAACATATTCCTAGTGTGAAAAAACGGAGCGTATCCGTATCCACACCCTCGCGGTCTGGATTCCAAAGCGCGATCCCGCGGATATGCAGCCGCACGGGTGCGTTCCGCGTGGGGGGCATCCGCGAAGAGACGCCCCGTATCTGTGGGGTCGCGGCCCGCAAGGCCGTGGATATGAATCTGTTTTTCGTCCACGAGGCCTGTCTGGCGCCTCGCCTGCTCTGGCGGGTCCAGCTGGGGACTGGCGGTGTGGCATGTGCGTGGCGGGTGCGGCAGCCCAACCTAGAGGAAGAAACATCAACTAAACATGAACTTTCGACGGTCCGCGCGGATTTCGTGGATCTGCGCTGGACCCCCCTCCCTGGCGCGCGGAGCGTGCAAGGGGCGGCGCCAGAAGCGCCGGCAAGTGGGCCCAGCGCCGATGCGAGAAATCCGCGTGGAGCTCCGGAAATTTACAGCCGGGAGCTTCTGCTTGGCGTATCGCGGCGGCGGCCCTTGTGAAACGCTATGCCCTGCGAGCGGATTGTGTGTCGCTCCGCTTCGCGGGGCGGGAGGCTGAGAAAAGTTGGGGACGTGGACGCCTGGGGACTGGGACGTGGATAGCATGTCGCGCCGAACCGTGGTTGACCAGAACCGGCGGAGCGACACGCTAACCCAAAAGTTCGTGGCCGTAATGATGTGCATGCCCTCTGCTTCCCCTTGGGCAGCCGTGTGAGAGGAAACACAACTCCAGCGCGGCGCCCGCGGCGTAGCTCACTCCGTCCTGTGCGGCGTAGCACTGCGCGTCGCGGCGCGCTGGCGGGCCGCGCGGCAGCTCGTGCAAACGCGCGGCTGTGGTCGCCACGCGCAGCCGCCCCTCCCGGCGGAGCGGCGCCATCGCTCCCCCCCACCCCGCAAGCCCGGGAGCGCGCGGGCTTGAGCCAAAATGGCTAGCCGCAGTCCCCGCGGGAGAGGAGAGAAGTGAGGCGCTGCCTTGGGTCAGGTGGCGAATCCCGCCGTGTGCGCACAGAGCTGTTTCGTGCCTTGCAAGGTGGGCGCGGTGGACAACTCGGAGCCACCGTCGCCGTTTGACACAATTCTGGTGATGGCAGTGTACCAGCCTGCAACGCAGCCGGGGCGGAGACGCGGCTGTGCCGCGGAGCCCCAGCCGGTCGAAGCCTATGAGCTTGACGCGGTGGGCCATCGCGAACCCAACTCGCCTTTCGACATCATGCAGTTGAGGTCGAAAAGCCAGAGCGTCTTCGATTACCATTTCCGAACATACGATGGCCCTTCCAAACATACGGATGACAACCACGCCCCACACAAATTGATGACGTGAAAATCGCCCTCCCTCCAAACATCCAAGTCCGCCCCATTTCCGGTCAAAACTGGTAGCTGCGATTCGAAAAGCAACGCAACATCTTCAAGCCGATTGAAACAGGTTCCAGTGCCCCAGAGATCCCAAGAGGCTGCCGACCCAATATTTCGTATGGATTTCGCGGCGTGGGTTGCTTTCCCTGGGCCCCTTGGGCACGAAACTGGTCCCTGAAGGGCGCAACCTCGAACGACCACGCCGGCGTCGCCGCCGCGTGGTGGAGGGATGAACACGCCGTAGCGAAACACAGCCCACCGCGCGCGCCGCCTTGCAAACAAGCGCAGCGTCTTTTCGGTACCCTGTCTGGGCCCCGGTTCCCTCGTTGAACACCTCTGGCAGGTCCACTGGGCGGGAACCCAATACTCCGACGCCGGGAGGTGGAGTAGGATAGCGAAGAGTAGGAGGGAGAGGGGGGGGGACAGGGGGGCGGGAGGGAAACAGGGGGGGGGGGGGGAATAACGAGGAGGGAGAGAGAGGACTGTCGACTGGGTGTCCTAGAAAACCTTGATCCACCGAATGCCCCCATCGTGTTATGCGCAGATAGAGAGGGAGGCTTCGTGCACTGGAGGCGGAGGAGGTGGTGGATGAGCGGGAAGACGAGGAGGAGGAGGAGACGGATGGCTCACCCGAGGGCACGGGGCGCCCACGAGCCCTCACGAGGCGCCCACAGGCGGGCCGGGGGCGCCAACGAGGCGGAACCTGGGCGGACCCACCGGGGGGGGCACGGGGCGCCCACGAGCGCCCCCCGAGGCGCCGACGGGCGGGCACGGGGCGCCAGCATGGAGATCCTCGGCAGACCCGTCCAGTGACCTAAGCGACGCCAAGAAGAGCCCCTGAGTGCAAGCATTGCTTCGGGGGTCAAACTGGTGTTGCCCTCTTGCGCGTTTGCCTGCGGTTAGCTCCTGAGGCTCCACGATGGCTCCAAGATCCCCCAACAGAGCCCCAGTATTGCTCCAATGCTGCCCTTACAACGCCCAAGAGCGCCCCAAGAGCCCCCCCCGCCAAGAGAACATGTGTTGAGCTCAAAGTAGGCAGCGTTGATCGGCGCCGCCTGCTTTTTGACTGATTCCTCCAAGATGGCCCTCAGGGCCCCTAAGAGGGCCCAATAGACCGCAAGAGGGCCCCGAAAGCTCCAACGGCCCCACGAGGGCCCCACAATGGCCCCAAGAAGCTTCCAAGAAGCTCCCAAATCGAAATATGCGCCAACACCTAGCTGGTTGGTTGACTCCTGTCGCCGTCGTCGTCGGCTTCTTTTGCCCCGTCCTCCTCCTCTTCTTCTTCCGCCTCTTCCGCAATATCCCGCCTCCTTCCCCCATCCTCCCATCTGGGGCCCATTAAACATGGGGTCGGACCGTGTTCCGACAATTTCCTCTTCTCTATGTTCGCCGTTCTCCCTCCTCCTCCCCCCTCCATTTCATCCTCATCCTTGTCCTCTACCCTCCTTCGAAAGAGCCGCGAGTGTACTCATGGTTACTCCTGGGTCTGCCCAGGCTGGGATTCGGTGTGACGTCTCGTCTCGCTCTCTCTCTCTCTCTCTCTTTCTCTCGACCCACCCTTGAGAGATGTCATCCTTATCATTATTTACATATTGTTCCTGTCCGTCGCATGTGCTTAATTCAGTCCGCTTCCATGGCAATTCTGGTCCAGGTCAGGGTAGTTCACGAGCCCAGGGAATGCTCACAATCCGTTGATCTGATTCACGCCCCCGACGGAGCCGCGACAAGCTCTCTCTCTCTCTCTGTCGCTTGTTTGCTGGTGGGACGCTCGCACAAAAGGACTCTCTCACATCTTGCTGCCGCGTACCGACTTGACATCTCGAGCAAAGGAATGGTAAGGTTCACGCCCCAAGTTTCAGGTGTTTGCTTCCATTGAGTCCTGAGATCTGACCCGGCTTTACCTGTACAATAGTTCGGTCCTTCTACGTGCACGACTCGGCATGCCCCCGACGCTTGTGACAGTGATCAGCTTGGAGGACGTGTTTCTCCTCGCGGCAACGTTTTCCATCGTCCTGATCAAAGGCTGAGGAGTATTTCGGAGGCGTCGAACACGTAACACCAAGTGTTAGGACCACCTCTCTGGGACATGGAACTGGCCTGGATGAGGTTCCATGTAGGACTCCAAGTGCTCGAGGATCAGACGAAGACGTGGCTTCTCTCAGCGGCCAGCCTCAGGCAGCTGGCAAGACGCGCGGAGGACGAGGAGACATAGTCCGAGTCGGAGAGCAGCATCCACAACAGCGATTTGATCCTGAGGCATGACAATTTCTGAGGTCCTACGACTCTGAATCCCCACCCTCCGGAACAGCCACGAGCGATGAGAAAAGTCTGGACAATTTTGCAACAGGCCAAGTGGGTGTAGAAATACGATATTGTGGGCCAACAGAGTTCACCGTCGGATCCGTGCTTATGTTACTACTGCATTTGCGATCTTGCCAAAATTCATCGGGCCCCGACCTGCTAACACTCGGGCCTGCAGAGGACCAGCGTTTTGGGCGACCATCAAATGTCCACTGTTAATCAGGGCTCACGCGCTTGATGTGCATTGATGGACTAGGCAAGTGTTTCGAATCCTTACTCCAGAATGGCGTCGTGCTGTCGATGACCTTTCCGAATCCATCGTGCTGACAGCCATCCAGAGTTTGTTGGACGTACCCACGATTCCTCATGGGGCCTTCGTCTACACCCTAGGCTCGCACACATCTCTCTATCTTTGGAAGGCGGTTTGAGGACTGCACAGCTTTTAGGAGTACTAGGATGCATCCAGGAACACCTTCGAGGACTAACGTTTCCAAGGACATGTCCAGGGAATTGGCCGAGATACATAGAGAACTCGGACGGAGCGCTGGATCTCTGTTGTTCCATTCCGGTCCTTGTGGACACATGATGCCCCACACACCCAAGACGACGACGACGACGAACCCCCCCGACGTACTCCCGACGGTCAACAGTATGTGTTTCCTGGGCGATGGGCTCGGTGCTGCACCAAACCTAGACACAATTGCATGCGCAGAATTGTGAACTCTGCAGATGCGCCTCGCACGGAATGATACACATGTGTGGGGTGTGTTGCACGCCACCTGCCAACTAGCGGACACCTGGCAGAAGTCTTCAATCTGAATCATGATGCACACGAAGTTCGGACAATACTCACGGAGCTTGAACCACCTTGGAAACATTTGTGCCTGAGGTGCCGTTGCTGTGTATCTAATATGCTGGTGGCTGTGACAGACCCTGACCAAGCCTATGAGCAGTGCACTGCCAACCTCATCGGCGCCGCGTGGCGTGAGATCTCTGCTGCCATCGTTCATCAACTGGGCTCGGACGCTGCACTGGTCAAGCTTGGTCGTGAGGTCAAGACGAGGACATTCACGACGGGCACCCCTCCGAACTACTTCAAGATTTCAGTTGATGGCATCGCGAGGACTATTCTTGAGTTCTGCTCGTTTTACTGTGTGACCATTGGAAGTGTAGTCTATGAACTATGGGGGCTCCCAATCGGAAGAATATTTTGGGGCGTAGTTCGACTTTTCTTCAAGCTTGGTTCGAGATGCGGGCCCAGAGGTTGCTTGAACAATTCAGAGGGTTTGGGTTTGAAGCATCATCTGTCTTTTATCGAAGTTCGAGTGCGACAATACGATGACGATCTCCTGGGTGTGAGCAGGGTGCGCTGCAAAAACAGTGTCATCGAACACAATGAAATTACCCCAAACATCTAACATCGAAGATACTGAGGGCCCCTCCATATGAATGGGCTTAGAGTTGTGGTCCCTCAAGGGCTACAAAAATGGATCACCCCGAAGAGTGAAAACCGTGCCTGGCTGATACCACCCGGCCCTGGACCTCGACCGAAGATAAACCTATTACCGTGGCAAGGAACCTTCCAATGGGGCTCTGGCATGATCGTGCCACTGTTCGCGGGCAGACTCGCTCGTGACAAACAAATCACTCGCTAACGATGCCCGTCGCCCTGTCGTGAATTCTTGAATTGGCCCTCGGGCTGATCCTGATAGGTTGCCCACCATGTATAATTCGGGCGGCTGAGCATTCTTATCCCTGGTCCGTTGCCATCCAGGCGGCTCGAGTGGTTCTACGACGGCAGCGTTGACTCTACCTTCCCAACACCATGGGCCGCGGGGACGACAGGCGTCAGTCCTGGAATAAGAACGACCAGGACAAGGACGGTCGTGGTGGCGGTGGCTGGTACTCGGAGCGTGGTCAAGGAGCAGCCATGAGGGCGACAAAGACGGAAGATATGACCAGCGTGACTGGGACCGTCACCGGGACGCAAATAACGACTGCGACCGAGACCGTGACCGCGACCGACGCGACCCTGAATCCCGCAACCATCGTGACGGGGACCGAGGCTACAAGGGGAGCGGGAGGTCAAGCTCACCCTCACCCAGGGCACGGGATTTGAAGGAGATGAGGAAGTCCTGTGCCGAGCAGGACCCAAACTACAGGGCGTTCCAGAAGGACAAGCGAGAGCGGGCGGAGGTGATGAAACTCAGGCGCCAGGGGAAGCACACCCTCCCGAAGAAAATAACCTGGGGCTAAGCAGCTTCAATTCTCAA